TTCTTCAAAAGGGAAGAAAACAAACGGAGGAAAGGCTTCAAAAGGCTCTCACACGGGTTAAGTCGATGGTTCAATACCCTGAAGCACGTGATCAGTACCGTAGACTCCTCACCGTTGTGGAAGGCTTCCGTGAAAACGAGGTAACCTTAGACCTAGTCCTCATAACATCAAAATAAGAAACTATCATAATGTTGTTGAACATTCTTGTGATAAATCTCTCGGTTGAACAGGCTACATCAAGTTCATCTATAAACAAAGGAGAGGAACTAGTCAACTATGAAGAAGACGATTTAATTGACATTGATTCTCTTTTGAACGATGACATTTTGATGTCCAATTCTCCTTGAATGACAAGTTTATGTATTCATTTTCATTCTTTTTTTTTTTACTTTCTAACTATTTCCAGCATTTTATGTAAATATCATAAGTTGATTTTACCATTTTATTAATTGAACTTGGGACTTTTTTTTTAATTCAGGATTCCTGCAGTCGTCTAAGTTTTCCTATTTTCACATGTTCATTTATACAATATTTATCTTTATATTATTACACCATATAAGTTGTATCATTAATAATTTAATATTATAGTCAAGTTTGTTACGAAGAAAAATACAATAGTGGGGTCAAATGTTGGATTTGTGTATATCCTTCTAAACCGTATTTAAATATTCTTATGTCATCTATTTCTTCAATTTCATAACATTTCTATAGATTAAACTCAGTAGTGGTCTCTTATTAAGCTAAATCCGGATCGACTTGCCTTTTTATCTAACCAAATCTGGATTGGCATGCAACTTAACAAAAGAAAATCTAAATTGGATTGCTGGACAAGGCTATTGAATATGGAAACTTAACAAATAAATTCTGGCAATAATTGAAGTATTCCTGTTTTATATCGTCAATTTAAAAAAAAAAATATCAATTTCAGCTTCTTTTTTCTTTTACAAATGAAAATGTTTATACAGTTTTAGTTTTGTTGGCTTGACTTGGTTAAGATCTAGTGGAAATCTTTACAAAGAGAAAATTATTTAAAATCAGAAGATTTAATTAAATCAATTTGTCTTTTATTATTATTATTAAAACATTTATTTTATTATTTTAATAACCAAGTAAAAGACTCCATAAGAAGATTCGCCTTGGGCTCGCTCACGGCTCACCAAAATTAAAAAAGGTTAACACTTTGCGCACCACGCCAAACTCTTCTCTCTTAAACCCTTCTAAAACCCTTTTTCTCTCTCTTCCGGCGAGATCGCGTGATGTCGAAGTCGCTGACTTTTATTCAAACCAATGCCTCGAATCCAAAGACATGGGTCGTGATCGGCGTGACTGTAGCCGGGATCGTGATTTTAGCGGAGACAAGGAAGCGACGGATCAAAGCCCTTAGAGAAGAGCACTTTGGTGCTTTCTTAGATCGTTTCGAGCTTCTTCCTTTTCCTCCGCCGCCTCCTCCCGCCGCTAAACAAACCCTCTCTGGTCTCACCTTCTCCATCTCCGACGTGTATGTCTCCAAAGTTCTTACCTTTTTTATTAATATAACGATCTCACTTGAAAAGTTTTGATTTTTATTTAAGCAGGGTGAAAAAGGTTTGATTTTTTAATGGTTTAATTGAATGTTTGGACTTAGAAGATGTTTATTTTGGACAGGTTTGATATAAAGGATTATATCACAGGGTTTGGGAGTCCACAGTGGAAGAAGAGTCATGAGGCTGCTGAGAAAACTGCTGTGGTTGTGACAACGCTCTTGAGAAATGGAGCTACTTGTGTTGCTAAGACAGTCATGGATGAGATGGGTTTTGGGTATTTTTCTCCATCTTTAGTGTTCATTAAATGAGTGTTCCGTGATTGGTTTGGAATCATTTGGATTTCATTTTTTTTTTTAAATAGGATAACTGGTGAGAACAAGCACTATGGTACTCCTATTAATCCATTGATGCCGTCTAATGTTCCTGGAGGTTGTTCCAGTGGCTCTGCAGTTTCTGTTGCGGCTGAACTCGTTGACTTTGCACTTGGTATTTGTTAATCTATTTTGTTTTCTCTTGGTAATGTGTGTTTTTGATCTTGTTATGGTTAGCAATAGCATTTCTTGGTGGTAATCTTAAATTGCTTGACTTGTATGTAGGGATTGATACCACTGGGGGTGTTAGAGTCCCAGCATCGTTTTGTGGTATTCTCGGATTCCGACCATCTCAGGGAACTGTTTCCTCAGTTGGAGTTTTGCCTAATTCCCAGAGCCTAGAGACTGTTGGTATGTTTACATTCGTTTCCTCCTTTCTTTGAACTTACTTTCATCCACTGGAAGTTCTTAGTGTATTTATATTGAATTATACAAAAAGTCCTTGTTGCTCTATGTATTTTTTTTTTTGGTCAAAATTGCTCTATGTATTATTGATAATATTTTCTTCTGAACTGTTCTGTAGGATGGTTTGCTCGTGATCCATCTATTTTGTGTCAAGTTGGGCATGCCTTACTCAACCTGAGTGCAGTACCACATAAAAGACAAAGATCTTTAATCTTTGCTGATGATTTGTTCGAGCTCTCTGATGTTCCTAAGCAAAAGTCGGTGCATGTTGTCAGAAAGGCAATCGAAAATCTATCTGGCTGTAAGTTTGCAATAGCATTGCGTCCTTCTCGTTGCCCTTTTCTTAATTTCTATCTTATGTCTCTTGCTCACTGGCTCGTGCAGACCAGGCTCCGAAACATATGAATGTTAGTCAGCATGTAGCTTCAAATGTGCCAAGTCTTGCGGAATTCTGTGAGAAATCTGGTAAATCGGAAGATTCAGCATCTACTTTGAAGGCTCTTGCATCGGTGATGTTATCAATACAAAGGTATTTAAGAAGTTTGCCTTCTTGTAGTGTTAGACCACATCAATACTATTTTCCCTCTCTCGTTGCTTTTCTACGGGTATTAACATCAATACAAGTTTTTCTTTATATAAGGCATGAGTTCAAAACAAATCATGAAGAATGGTCGCAAACATGCAAATCGTTTCTAGGACCACGATTCTCCAACGATGTTGTTGCAGCTCTGAAGAGTAGAAACGAGAACATTAAATCTCTCTATAGAGTCAAAACTGAGATGCGTGCCACCATTCAAAGCCTTCTAAAGGTAATCATCTATTTCAGTAATGTTTAACGTTATTTTTTTGCCACTGAAATACAAAATCATAGAGAGCTTGCATTGGTTAAAGTTAATCTTATTACCAGGAAGATGGGATTCTGGTGATCCCAACAGTTGCTGATCCTCCTCCTAAGCTTAACACAAAGAACAAGAACGCTGTGAATGAGTTTCTTGATCGAAATTATGCACTCGCAAGCATTTCTAGCATGTCTGGGTGTTGTCAGGTATATTCACAGTTCCTCTTTCTCACTTTCAGTTATTGGAGGACTGCCTTGTTCTCTTTTTGTTATTCTTGAGAGTTGAGTAATAACGCAAATCTGTATACGAATACTACAGGTTACAATTCCTTTGGGGAAACATGGTGATAGTCCAGTTTCTGTGTCGTTTCTTGCTTACTATGGAGGTGATAAGTTCCTTCTCGATACAATTCTCGAAGTATATGCATCCCTTCAGGACCAAGCCGATATTGCAGCCAGCTTAGCTCCAGTGACTGACTCTAATGGTATCGAAGCGTCTGAAGTTATGAAGGAAAAGGTAAAAACTTCTATCATCTTAATGTGAAAATAGTGTGTGTGCTTCTGATCCATATGCTATTAGAGTTGGAATGATCTAATTTTAAAGAAGGCTACGGTGTATTAATGTTAATTCCAGGGAAATGCTGCATTCAAGGGGAAACAATGGAGTAAAGCAGTAAGTTTTTATACTGAAGCTATCAAATTGAATGGAGCAAATGCTACTTATTTTTGCAATAGAGCTGCAGCGAACTTGGAACTTGGCCGGTACTTGTTCTCTCCATATCTTTTCATTCTGATCGGAAAATAATTTGGTACTCTTCTGATCTAAGATTTTGTTTTATAGCTTCCAACAAGCTGAAGAAGATTGTACGGAGGCTGTATTGATTGATAAGAAGGTTCGAACTTGATTACCTATTATTTCTTCATACTCCATTCTGTTGTATAGTTTACTTCTGCTACACTGCATTTAGCTTGCCTTTGTTTGGACACGCTTTAGCATCAAAACTCTTCAAGTTGTTTTTGGGGATTTAGGGACATAAGCGTTGTGAAATTGACTAGCCACGTATGACTTGAAAGAACTTGGAAGTTTGATTCTTATAATTATTTGTTTCTACAGAATGTGAAAGCATATTTGAGACGAGGGACTGCTAGAGAATCACTCATGCGGTACAAGGAAGCTGTTGCAGGTAACTAAAGCTAGTTTCAGACTCTGGATTTTTTATTAGAATCTCTACATTTTTATTAGACTTGTTCTTGATTAATACGTAATAACCAATAAATACCGTTTTCAAGCTTCTGAATGTCAAAGATTGGTCGCAATCATCGAAGATGGTCGATCATAGAGACATTGACATTGAATATAATTAACATATGGTTTCGGAGAGTAACATATGGTTAAATATCTCTGCAGATTTCAGGCATGCATTGGTCCTTGAACCCCAAAACAAGACGGCAAAGATTGCTGAGAAGCGACTCCGAAAACTCATGAGTTAAAAGAGAAGAAGAAAAGCCGTTCTTATTTTATTCAATCCCTTTCTTGTTCACCAAGCTAGCTTTTACTTCATTACAACCCTAAAAGCAAAATGTTTTGATTGTTCGGTTCATGATTGAATCTCTTAACATATTATAATTTTTTTGTCCGCCTTTCCATTGAAATGATCGAAGCCCAAACAAGCATTACAACAGAAGATGGGCTCAGGCCCAATATGCTACCGTTAATCTAATACAGTTTAATGATTAAAATAAGATCTTAATAAACATTGCAATTAGACACGTGTACATCCACGCGGACACATAAGATGCAGTAAAGCTTTTAGTCGGACAATAATTGAAACCAGCTTTTGTTCTGTTTCATTTTGAAACTGAAAAAAAAAAAATTCAAAAAAAATGGTTGATTATTTGAGATTGTTGCGATGTTTCAGCTTCACGGCATCGCGTGATTGGCTATTCCGGCAATCATTCGCAAACGCCGGTCTCCGCTCCGTCACCACCAATCTCTCCCACAACAATTCCACCGCATCAACAACAACTATGCATTGTTGGATCCCAAAATCCCCGAACCGATCAAAACCAAACCTCCTCCTCGTACACGGATTCGGAGCAAACGCAATGTGGCAATACAACGAACATCTCAGATCCTTCACCAACCGGTACAACGTCTACGTCCCCGATCTCCTCTTCTTCGGACACTCTTCCACATCCGAACCGAACAGAACCGAATCTTTCCAGGCTCGTTGTCTCATGAGGCTAATGGAAGCGCACGGAGTCGAGAGAATGAACCTCGTCGGGATAAGCTACGGTGGATTTGTAGGGTACAGTTTAGCGGCGCAGTTTCCGGAGAAAGTGGAGAAGCTGGTGCTATGCTGCGCCGGGGTTTGCTTAGAGGAGAAAGACATGGAGGATGGTTTGTTCAAGGTTCCGAACTTAGAAGAAGCTTCCGAGATTTTGATTCCTCAGACGCCGGAGAAGCTTAAGGAGCTTATTAGATTCTCTTTTGTGAAGCCGATAAGAGGTGTTCCTTCGTTTTTTCTATGGGATTTTATTGATGTGATGTGTTCGGAGTTTGTGGAGGAGAAGAGAGATTTGATTAAGTCGATACTTAGAGATAGGAGAGTTTCAGATCTTCCTAAGATCAAACAGGTGAAGAAAAAACTACACTTCTTTTAGTTTTCTTTTTTTCAGACATTTGATTTAATATAGATGTGTTCTGTTTTTTTGGTTTGAATTAGAAAACTTTGATCATATGGGGAGAAGAAGATCAGATATTTCCAGTGGAGCTTGGTTACAGATTGAAAAGGTAAATAAACATCTTTGTAAATTTTAGATTACAATTTACAAAAAAAGAAATTTTCATTATAACTATGGTGAAACAGATATATAGGAGAAAATGCAGAGATGGTGGTGATAAAGAAGGCAGGACATGCTGTTAATTTGGAGAAGCCTAAAGAATTTCTCAAGCATTTGAAATCTTTTCTCATTTGACTCTTTGTGAACTACTTGTTTTGTTTATCTGGTAACGTTTTTATGCTGGTTTCGGTGAGCTATGATATTGCACCAAAAACAAATCAAAAGAGCTATTCTTCGTAATGGGCTGGGTGTTAACCAGATGGGCTTTGAGGAAAATAATTTTTAGGATCTTTAAATGTGAAATTATTCCATTTGGGTTTGGTCGAGAAAGGAGAAAACTATATACAGTAAGACCTTTGTAAATTAGTAATAATATATACCAAAATATTATTTTTTATTAATTTAAAAAGATATTAATTTATCGAATATTAATTTATAAAAGTTCTACTGTAGTTCCAAAATTTAATAAATTTAAACCATTATCCTTTTCTTCATACTTCAGTTTTAGATGTCAAATTAGGTAGGCTATCCATGAATGGTCCGTGTGTCCAAATTATTATGTTTATCCATATTATACCAGATTTGAATTAGTCTAGATGAGTGAAATATAATTGCATCCATGAATAAAATCAGATTGAAACATTTAGATATTGGTTAGTTCAAATAGCTAAGATGTCTAGATTTAAAAAGAGGGAAATTCAGTCTTGCTAAAATCATTAAATCATTCTGTTTTATAAAAATCGCGAAAATCATTTTTCTTCTCTAAAATTGTAAAATCGAGTTTTTTCACTAAAATTACAAAATCGCATTTGTTAATCAAAATTCCATAATTGTTTTTTTGCCAAAATTGCAAATCGCAGAATAAAAAAATTAAATTTATGTTATATATAAAATTTAAAATCTTTATATTTTCAATTAGAAATTAGGTTATTTATATTAAATGAGCTCACCCTCCTCAGAGATAGGTTTCAACACCTCTCAAAACTCAATGGTTGGGTTCTTCAACGTCGATTTCGAATTTTGTGTGTTCTTTCGAACGCGGGCTCTAGGACTACAAGTGAAGATTTTCTTCAGTTTCTTCTCTCCGTAGCCATCTCTATCTATCGTTATGCTTTAGTTATGTTAGTTTATCAGTTTACCGTCGAGTTTCTCTCCGGTTGTAATCGACTTCGTCCATTGGACGTTTAATTTTAATATAAGCTTTTGTTGTTAAAAAAAAAGAGCTCACCCTATTTAAATATGGTCCTATATGGGTTTCAACCAAAAACGTTCAACAATGAAAAGCATTCTTCTATCTACCCAATTGGGTCCAGTCCGTCCATTTGACATCAATATTCAGTTTATCTAGCTCCCCTATCGAGTATCGTTGATTTTTTTTCGTAAGATGTATAGCTCGACTTAGTTAGAGAAGATTCCAAAATCGTTGACTCTTACATATATGCATGACAAGAGAACCGGGACCAATTTGTGTACAGAGGTTGGTTAGTTAGTCAACATGAGAAGCGGGTCGGTCGGTTGGCGGCATTATCTGACCAACGTACCACACAAGATACTAGTAATTGATTTATCAACCCAACGTATCCTTAGATTAATGCAAAGTATACCTATATAATTATATGGACTCTTTTGTTTAAAAACAGAGATAACCATTTCTATTACCTCATGAATATCTGCTTCAAATTTCACTAATATTGTTGCTTAACTAATCTACTTAGTAGCACTGCTGAAAGAGTTTGACAAGTTCCATATTTTAATTACCTATATTAATAAGGTTGCATGTATATACCATATTATGTCTTTTTATCAACTTGTTTGGCTTAGGCATTGGGGATGAAACTATGTAACAAAGTAAAGAGGAATTATTTTTCATGTGGAATTGGCTGCTTGTGCAGACTAATAATTATTGAAAGTTGAAACTTGTGGGTTTGATACAATTGCCGGCACAGGTCGAATGCAGACGAAGAAGAATCACAAGGGACAACAAGATTCAATTTAAGAGGACTGACCCTTGTCAATATATTTTATAGTTTTAATTTCTTAATAATATGATTGGCCTTCCATTACTTTCGCTAGTCTTTTTCAATATCGCCTGTCGAAAGAAAGGTTTAATTATTGTAGCTGTTGAACCAGTGTCATTGTCACTCAATAAGTGTAGTTGGTCATTGCAAATTTTGCACTACGAGGACTCTGATTTTTAATTTTCTCTGTATTAGCGTTTTATGTTATCACACTAGTTGAATGAAACAAGTATTTTGCAGTTTTAACTGAAAAAGATTTATATGTTTTTTTGTAAAAAAAATAAAGTTGTTGCTACTAACGAATATCATTCTAATTCTATAATTTGTAAAAAAAACATATCATTATCAGTAACTGAAATATAGACTTCTTAACGTGAGACGCATCTTCAAAACTTTTCAGCGTACCATTGAATACAATCAACATGTTTCATGCTTTTATTTGTGTTTCGTATATATTTGATTCAACTTCTACATTCTTTGACCAAGAGAAAATAAAGAAAGGAGAAAAGAGAAAGACAATGATCCAAGTGGGCATACATGCAGCATTTGCCCATACCATAATAAGACTATTACATGTACCCTCAAAGTCAAAAGTTAGGTTATGGAGGGGAATAAAGGTATCTGAACGTTATATCCGACTTCACTTGCTAACTTTAATTGACTTCGCCGATAAACATGCATATCTCAAATTGTAAGTATGGTCCCTTCAAAATTTCTTATCCGTTTACCCCCTCGAATATGCTTTTACAGCCGGCCAATTTAATGACCAGACGCATAATGTTAAACATGTATGCTTCTTTGTATTTTAAACGATATTACAAATTATTTGAGACGGATCAAACATAAAAAAAAAAAGACAACTATGTTATTAAAATCATTTTGGACCAATCTTAAATATCGTTACAAACTGATGCTGTTAAACAAAAGCAAGTAATTAAATTCCTAGTTCAAATCAAACTTCATATTATTGATTATTTTGTTAACCCATCTTCATTGTTTAATACTCCTTCCGCTTTTTTTATTAATTGTCATTTTAGAGTTTAAATTTTGTTTCATTTTAAATGTTGTTTTATGTATTCAATGCATTTTTAGCTATTTTTACAAATTTATCCTTATTTTTAGTTCATTAATCAAAATAATCATAAAAATAATGTATTAAATAGAGGTAAAATAATAAATTTAATGGTTTTTTAATATGAAGGAAAAAACATAGTATGACATATAAAGTGAAATGGAGGTAGTATTTATTTTATTATTACTAAATAACCCACAATTCTTATTTATTATAACTATTAGTAGAATTTCAGTTGGTAACAACTACAATATAGTTTAACAAAAATAAAACTACAATATAGTATCCCTTATGTGTTATTTGAAAATCAGTACAACTTTTGAATATTATCACCACTAAAATAGTTTTTAGAATCTTTAGAAAAGTAAATTGATCTTTCTAAATATATATTATATTTTTAATCACAGAATTAATTATTAATGTATAATAATTAATTATTTCTTTAAATAAAACTTAAAATTACCTAATATGATTAATATATATATATATATATATAAATTAATGCTTTTGCAAAATAAAGTTTTGATAACACTTTGTGTATCATCTATCGTTTTCAATTTTTTATTATTATAATAAACTAAACAATCAAATCAATCATATAATAAATTTTTAGATTTTTCTGTACATGTTATATTTTGATTTTTTTTTTTTTTAACTGTGATCAAATCTGTGAGAATTCTGAATAAATTAATAAACAGTTACAAATCTCACATTGAGAATTTGTGATCAAATATTTTAATTTTTAATAAAAAAATGTAATAAAATTATTATTTATTGGTCATAAAATTATATGAGTAGAAAGTTTCATTTAAATTAAGAACCATATAAAATACAAAAATATTTAAATTTTAAAATTTTCATTAAACAAGTATTGAGAATTTAATATTTTAATTTAAACATTTAACATAATTTTTTAAAAAATATTATAAAGTTAGGTCCTATGTAACTGCCGTTTAGCTATTCTTTAAGCTGTATCATAATCATATAATGTGTACAGTACCCATCACCCATGTATCATGTATGAGCTTGCGCATTACGTATACTTTGTCGCTATCGCAATTCACAAGACATTTAATACATAGAGCGTGTCACAATTCATGCCAACGAATCATTACATGGCGTTGGTCTTATTTCATATTTTTGACGCCTACAAATCAGTTTCTAGCCCTACGAATCACACTGGCAATTGCATGTACCTATCCACACGCACGCTCAATCGCTCATCATACCAAAAATACATTGATTGTTATAACATATAGCTTTCAAATACGTCGAATCTAAGTTGTATTGGTTCATATCCACATCAATCTATTAGTCTATTGGTTGGAAATTAAATCAACGACAGTCCAAAAAATGGAAATGTTATTTAAATACTTTACTATAATAATTAAAACTATTGGAAAATGATTATCTATAATAATAAAGTAGGCTTCTCTCCCTTCTTAGAGAGCCACATCAGCATTTGTGAGGGGGGCAAAAAAAGACATGTCACCAATCACCCAATTAAATTATACCGACCAAATTTTATCAATCCGTTTCGGTTTAAATTGGTTTTCTTTCTACGGTTTTGTGGTTCATGATAGGCTTTGTTTTTGGTTCGTACATGGCCATATTTTAAAGGTTTTCATGGGCTTTGTTTTTGGTGTCGTAGAGGCCCATTTTTTACGTTTTCTTTGTCTGTTCTCTTCGATGGCGAGGAGTCTCCTCGTCCGTATCGACGCCGAACCAGAGAATGAGAATACGTAACCGCTGCCTTCTCCCATTAATGTATCATTTACTCTCATCTTTGGAGCCTTGACCATAGTTCTACAAATTCCTCTTTTAGCTTCAAGTTTTTTGCTTTGTTTTACTTTATTTTTTACTATATATCGAATTATTGTTTCTGAATGTGCAGGATAGAATGACAAGCTAGATTGAGATGCTTCTTTAGACAAGTATTACAGTGGAGTATGGATGATGACATGAGCCAAACTATGAACAAATCATTCGTGGGCTGAACAATCCCTATTTTGGTCTTCCTTTTTAACAAGATTTTTTTTTTCCTTTCGACTTACTATTTACTTCTTTTTGTTTTAAACCATTTTCTGACTATTTACTTTCTCGGATCGTTTTGGCTTTGACAAGAAATCCTTTTGAAAAACAAAGGAAATAGCATCGGAGAATCAAATCAAGCACTTAAAGCAGACAAAAGAATGCTGCACAAGTGGTCCTCCGCTTCCTTTGAATATGTCACGGTACTAAATTGTGAAAAGAAACGAAGAAAGGGAACAGTCAAGAAAACTTACATGCTTTTATTTTATTATGAGAGTTGGGATAGTCATGCTGATGGATTTATTTGGAATATTTTATGATTGATGTTGTCGTTATTTTGCTTTTGTTTTCAGGAAGCTTATATAGCCAACGTAGAGATCAAAATGTGAAACACTTAAAAATGGAGATCCCTAAGTAAAAACTTCATCAAGCTTTGATTCCAGCTATGGATACTTCCTAAATTGTGTCCGCTACCGCTGCAGTTGTTTCAATGGAAACAATGATAGCTCCTCCATGATGAATTAGATATGTTCGGTGGTTCATCTCAGATATGATTTTTGACATTGATACTCCTTGGTCATCGGCGAACATATATCACACTCTCTATGTGCAAGATTGGTTTGCTTTGGCTTAGAGATACAATAGTACTGTTCTCATCCGACTGTGTCAGGAGTCTTACCTTTGGAGCTGTTTCTTTATATGTTGGACCAAGCACACTATCTCGGTTCCATGGAAATTTTATTAATGTAAGTTGTGCCTATCATATATGAATTAAAATCTATGTTTATATTTTAAGTTTGAGCTAATAGTTGTCTACGGATCCATAAGTTTTTAATAGGTTTGGAGCCTAATTCATTTGTAGTGTGTCCAAAAGCTTCTAGAACGTACTTGAGTTGTCATTTCTCTCATTTTCAGAGATTAGTTCCTTATATCGGGTTCTTAAACATTACTGTGAACATTAGTTTAATTCGCTAGAAGTTTTTTTGACGTACTTCTATTAGCTTACCAATTATGAATATGTCAGTATCCCCTATTGGTTTTTCTTCTGTTGTAGATATGGGCTACCACTGAAGGTGGAAAATTGGAAGTGACACACAATTCAATGTTATCCTCTCATTGGGTTATTACATATATATATATATATATATAATGTAACTAATGAGTTTTCACCGGCTAATTGGATACAAGCATACAGGTTGATAGCTATGTGTCTGATGTAGAAGCCAAGGTGGTTCTCCTATGCTTATGCTACGAAAACTAATAAATCATTCAGTACCTCACCTGGTTGGGAGGCAAAGAATTTTCCAAGCTGAAAATAACAAGAGTGTGTCATCAAGCTAGCAACTTAATTTACAAAGTGAGGACATCATTGTTTAATTCATGTGCGCGTATTCATTGTTCTCATTTATATTCATTGCTATGGAAAAAGTGGCCATAATACTTTCTTTTTGTTAAGCCATTTGTTATGTTCATTAGGCTGCTCTGGAGACTGTTGTTCAACATTTAAAATAATTGAAAATCAAGATTTAAAAGTACAATCTATATAGAAAATCTAATAGTTCAAAATGTCAAAATTAAACTAAATGCAAGTATAAACATATGATGCAAACTTGCCAATCTTGGTTTCTGGCTTCATTGCAGATGAGACTTTGCAACCAGACCGGATCACCAAAAAAGATGTAGGATTTTGTGTGGTGATAGAGGATGACACCTTATGCCACAGAAGAAGCTAAAGTATTCGAGAAAACTCTGACATAATTATTGGACCAAGAACTCAGCCTCTGCACGAGATTGGTGATACCGAAAAATAGATTCGGTAGTTCTGTGAAACACTCCGGATGCAACAAAGTTTGTCTAGCTTCAATAGAAGAAGACTCAAGGATAATATTTGCTTGACGCATATTACTCATCGATTCCACAGCCAAAATCTCAAATCAGCAACATGCTTAAAAACTTGAAGAGGAGAAGGCACATAATTGTTGGGTTGGAATATAAACTTAACATATTTCTCGATTGTTTTGTTCCATTTAATTATATAATTGTATATGTTATGGTTGTTCTATGTGGAAACTGAGACTCGATATTTGATTAGACAGGAATTATATACATTCGTTTAATACAGACAATACTAAAAGACTAAAGAAACTGAGTTACTTCTTTTAGTTTTAGTCTTTGAAGATAATTTTTTTTCTAGATAACATCTCTATACATTTGATTCATCTTAATTTTTAGATTATTAATGGGTATACTACATTTTTAAACTATTTTCGCTAAACTACATGAACCAATGTAATACTTTATTAATTTATAACACTATTAATTTTTAAAAGTATTTGCAAATAGCATGAGGAAAATTTCCAACAAATAATTTTGTTATAAATCAAAGTTCAACAAACGCTGAAATAATTTACAAAACATAATTAGTAAAACACTAAAAATTAAAGAAAAATCATTATAAATTTAAAATCTAAACTAAACTGAAACAAACATACATTTTAAAACATCATTTTTGTTAAATAGTATATACTTATTGTTTTTGAAATTATTTAAAATATTTATATATTCCTATAAAATATAATTTTTAATTTTATCACACTACATTATATTTTCAATTGATTTAGCTTGGAGGTGGATTAAGTTATATCGTGAGAAACTTAATTTTGGTAATAGTATTAAGATTATACTTTTAGAAGTTAAAAAATATTAGTTAATTCTTATTGTATATTTTCTTTAACTATATCAAAATGAAACATAAATTAAAATAAAAAAAATATAAATGATTACATTTTCTTAACTTTTAAATTTCATATTTGTGTTCTCTAACAAAAAAATGTAAGTGGTTTCCTTCAACTAAAACTAACAAAATTTAATAAAGTTACAAATTTATTTTACAGTAAAAATGTTATATTTATCATTCAATTTAATATTTTTAGTGTAAACTCACCCGCCCGCAGGGCGGGCCAACCACTAGTATGAAAGATAATGTGTGGCCGAAAATACGATTATAATAAGAAAATCTCTAAGCATGTTGATGAGAAAATAATTGTAGTGTACATTTGCTCATCTGACATAATTTTATTATAGGAAGCAATATTTCTACTATGTTAATCAAACAAAATCATATTTATCAAATTTGGCATACCTCTTTTCTTTAATATACACTGGCAGAGTACTGTAGAAACAGTTTTAACCACAAGAAATTCCGTATTAATGTAGGTGAAAAATATAAATTTCAAATCTGTTAAAGAGGTAAATGCAATTATTTTTCTACAAAGGCAGAGGTAAAGTAATGAGATTTTTACCAATCTTATTCCCATCATCCAAGAGAGTATTTTCTGAGTTCTGACAATGTGACGTAAAATATATTTTCAGGTTTTAATAAACAGACCTAGATACAAGAACCACAAGACTCATCTTCCTCGTATGTCGTGCCGTGCCTCGACGTTAGGAAATCCAACGGCTCTGTTTTCTACACTAGGTCTATTTTTATGCATTAGTTATCACTTATCAGTTCTTCTTAGTTAACTTAATGGTCTATAGTGTCGATTGATGATACTAATTGTGGCTTGTTACATATAACAGATGTGTTGGATGAATTATCAAGTGTTAACATCAACCACATGTATATGGATTATATATATATATATACAATAAGATTCTCTTTTGAAACTCATTTTCATAATTAACTTTAAATCTATCCGGCATGATTCAGTGCAGAAACAAATTTATGTAACTAAGAAACGTGCAACATTCACGAATTAGAGAATTACTTTATAAAAAGGCGAATGACTATATAGAGAGAGTTGAGAAAAGAAAAAAGAGAAAGGCTAAAGATAAAGAAGAAGAGTGGACCAAGATGCAGACGTGGGGCAATAATTGATGTAGGAAAGGGCTTGGTTCGTACGACTACTCCTCAAAATTTTATGTATATTTCCTTACACACACCCAGTTTGTATATCTGTATGGTGTGATATGCATTATACTCTATTCAATATTGGTGTACCTATGGGTTGAGCCATTGATGTCCCTACTCTCCTACAAAAAAAAATGATCTCCACTGTCTCCACCATTATGGGTTTCCTCAAAACAATAGATTTTGAAAATAGTTGGAGGCAACTTTTGAATAGCATGGGTTGGTGTATAGTTAGTGCATGGTCGGTTTAATGCTTTTTTTTTTTGACAAAAAGGTCGGTTTAATGTTGCAACTTTAAACTTTTGAATAGCATGGGGTTAGTGTAGTTAGTGTATGGTCGGAGTAAAATACAAAAAATCTAATGACAATAGCTCTTGACCGGTTAAAGATTACAAATTCTAACAAGAAACCCACCCCTAGCATGGGTTAATCACTTCATAAAAGAATAAATTTATCAGTCGTATCCAAAATGATCATTTTTTTCGTGAATTCTGGTGTCCAAATTAACACCCATGCTTTTGTAGATGATGAAATGTAACGGAAACTCGGTGCGTTCGGAAACGTATAGAATACAAACGTCCAACATTTTTTTTCCTTTCTAAAATGCATTAAAATAACTTTTTATTTATCGAATTACATGTATGATTACGACTTTCAATAACTTCAGACAGGAACTATTCAATGTAAATAGTAAAACTTTATCCGGACATGCACGGAAGTGTTAATCCCTGTCGCATAATATCTAGATCTACTCAATTTTTTTTTTTTTTTTTTGACAACAACTAAAATTAGGAACTCAAATTTCTTTTTAAAATAATTTAATGCACGTTTATGGAAACTACCACGTCACCCTAGACTAACCTCATTACAGCCTGTCAAGTACACTCGCCTAACCAATTAAATACATCCACGTCACTTACGTTGAAACGGACGCTCTCTAACATATACAGCTGTACCCCGTTCAAAAAACTCCAATATAAATACAACCTTCTATAGTTTCATAAACCCTCAAATTAAAACACAAAAACCTCTGTTTCTCCCTCACAAAATGGCCTATACTCACAGTTTCGCTCTTCTCCTCATCCTCCTCTCCGCAACCATCACCTTCTCCTCCGCCGCGTTGGTAGAAGAGCAGCCTCTGGTGCTCAAATACCACAACGGCATTCTCCTAAAAGGAAACGTCACTCTCAATCTCGTCTGGTACGGAAAATTCACATCAATCCAACGGTCCATCATCGTCGACTTCATCCGCTCTCTCACCTCCTCCGCCGTCAAATCAAAAGCTCCATCCGTCGCGTCCTGGTGGAAGACGACGGAGAATTACAAAGGCGGCTCGTCGACGATCCTCGTCGGTAAACAGCTCCTCCTCGAGAACTACCCTCTCGGAAAATCGTTGAAAAGTCCTTACCTCAGAACTCTTTCCGGTAAACTCAACGGAGGTGGTGGTGGTGGTGGTGTTCGGTCTATAACCGTCGTTTTAACGGCGAAAGACGTCGCCGTCGAAGGCTTCTGTATGAACCGTTGCGGGACTCACGGCGCGAGAGGTAGCTCCGTTAACAGTGGAGCTTACGTTTGGGTGGGAAACTCTGAGACGCAGTGTGCTGGCTACTGCGCGTGGCCGTTTCATCAGCCATTGTACGGACCTCAGTCTCCGCCGTTGATCGCGCCTAACGGAGACGTCGGAGTTGACGGGATGATTATAAACTTAGCGACGTTACTTGTTAACACCGTGACGAATCCGTTTAAGAGCGGTTACTTTGATGGCGCGAATCAAGAGGCCGTCTCGGTCTGTACCGGGAAATTCGGGTCGGGTGCTTATCCGGGTTACGCGGGTCGGGTTCTTGTAGACAAGACTACCGGAGCTAGTTACAACGCTTTGGGACTAGCAGGTAGGAAATATCTTTTGCCAGCGATGTGGGACCCGCAGACTTCGAAGTGTAAGACTTTGGTTTGAGTTTAGACGGTCGTGAACGAGACACGTGGCAAGAAAGAAAATGGTGATGGCGAGTTGAAGAAAGTTGTAGATATCTATCTTGTCTGATTGTACGGAGGAGTTTGGGGAAGGGGATGTGTTTCTTTTGTCGTTATGTGTGACGTGTACATTCGTTTCTGGTGGTGTGTGAAAGGATGGTTATATATATCTAATTTAATGCGGATAATAAAAATCGATTTGTAGTTTTCACTAAGCTTATTTTTAATAACATCGTTTTACCAAAGGGAACAAACTTTATAGATAAGCGGGGAATGGGAAATTAATTAAGCTGTGTAGATACGGTGAGCAAATATTTTACAAGAAAAAGTGGGAATAAAGGTGTCTTGGTGAATGGTGATGATGGAACTTTGAGGAAAACGAGGAAGAAAAAAAAAGACAATTCACTTTTATCAAAGCTAATAAGCTTATAGCCTTTGGTTGAATTAGCGCGTATTTAATTACTCTTAGTTGGGAGTAATCAGTATTGTTTTTATTATCCTCGTTACCCACCAATCTAATTTTTTTAGGTAGATTGAATTTGTTTTATCACAGGAATTCTTAAATAAGATGAGTGGGTTGGTGTTTAGTGATTCGAGCAGGCTTGTGGGATCAATGATTTTATACTGGTTATGCAGTAAAGCTATCAAAGAACACACTCCAGACTCCAGTCACAGTTTGTTAGCAAGGGATGGTATCAGTACCGAACCCGTTGAAAAATCATCCTTGGTCTCCATTTCTTAACTTCTTCTACACCCCCATGTTTAACGTCCAATTTGTTTCGTTTCGTGATGTCTACGGATAACCTTCCTTCACTTTGATCCGATTTATTTTTATAAATTTGTCATAATGCGTTCATATTAGATCTCAAAAGTCAAATGGTATGCGTTGTTTTGGCAGGAACAATCAGATATATGTTGCAAATCAAACTCGTGACGAAGTTCTTGGTTTATCTGTGACAAAAGAGAGATAGGTTTGGTTACGTTGTTATATAGTAATCAAACAACAACTAAAAGATTTAAGAATCCCTCACACAGAATGCCCAAAAGAGAGATAGGTTTGGTCCCTCCTCCTTATAAGCCCAGTCATGACCTCTTAATTAACAACCCAGATATCAAACCCATCAAACCATGCCCCAATTAGTTTCTCCGTAGAAATGTAAGAGAAAGCCTACTAACAAAAGAAAAACACAACCAAACGATAGATAGATTAAACAGTACTCGAATTAATTGAATTATAGCGGGAAACCTATACGTATTTATTTGTCATTTACAACTAGTTAGGCCCATATTATATATCAATGGCCTTTAGGCCATTTCATAAATGCTTACAAAGTCCAAAAGTATTTCAAATTTCTTTTACTAAAACAAGTTTTATTGTATCCTTGTTCAACGTCTTTTTCATTTAGTACAGAAGTCTGATATTTTGAAAGGTCGAAAAAAAAGTTTGTCATTCAAGGAGCCGATTCAAAGAAGGTTGTTCCATATTACAGCTCTAAATTTTATTAAAAGTAACATGACTGATACATAAATGACAAACATGTATTGGACCCCCACGAGAGAAGCAACAGAAGCTAATGACATGATAGTATAGCACAAGAAGTCCGATTGAAGAGCTTAATAGCCAGAGATTTAAAAGAGAAAAGTAAAAGATATGGTACTCTGATAGCAACAGAAGAGTAATAATGAGACAAAAGAGCGTGGGGACATAGATTCACCCAATAATGCAAGTAGATATATTCACAGAACATGCGAGATTACAATTCCACAACAACTCTATAAACAATTCAATCTTTGTCTTTTTGATTTTTTACTTCATCCACACCCACCACCACCACCTCAACAAGAATTATTATTACTAAGGAGGAAAAAATGAAAAGAAAGATCATGATCAATGAGAGCAACCAAGACTTTGCTTTTTTATTCTTTCACACTCTTCCACTCCAAGCACAGAAGAAAGTAACATCTGTTTTGTTCTTTTATTGGAGCATGCCAAATCCAAAAGGTAGATCACTATTGATCCAGCTAAGCTGAACAGTGTATAAGGTCCCACTAGGCCACCAGGCGTGACCTAATTGTTTCAAACGCACGTTAATACAAATATTGAAAGAATCTTCTTCAGTCCTTTTTTTTTGACCTCATTGATTGTCTTTTGTCTCTTGTCTTCTCTTTAACCAACCAACCATGCTTATTCCAATAGAGTCAAACAAAGGGTTTTAGTTATTTCACCAATGGTTGTTTAAACCTTTTGGAGAGGTTAAGTTTCGCTTCAGCAACTTGAGGTAATCAATGGCTTCGTCTAGTAGTAACAGAGCTTCTTTTCCTTTTGCTCCAGGAACTACACTCTCAAGGATTCTCAGAGCGGTGTGGATCTTGTCTTTTCTTGACTCCTCGTCGCTTAGACCAGAACCCATGTCTTGATTGCTGCTTGAGATGTTGGATTCTTGAAGTTTCTCATCTGATAATAATCCTTTGAGATTAGTGGTACCCACAAAGGATGATGGTGATAGGTCTATGTATGAATGGTCCAGTACTTTCTGCCTTTTAAGACGTGGACCATCATCACCACAGCTTTCGGTTCCAACCAGTTCTTCTTCTGTTTTATTATTGCACGCTTGTTGTTGTTCAACTGTGAATGGAGAGTGACCTGTGCTCATTACTTCATCATCATCATCACTCTCGCAGTCATCATTGTCTTCATCATCATCAGAATACAGCAGTGCGTTGATCTCCTCAGTGTCTTCGTGCATCTCTGACTCTTCTCCTCCATTAACATGATCTTCATGGAGCAATGTCTTTTCTGGAACGGCATGATCTTTAGTTAACCCTTTCTCTAGGTTTAGGAAATTGAGAATTTTCCCTGGATCTGCAGCCACAGAGGAAGGAACACTCAGTGGAAAGCCACACTGCAACAAGCGAGTCTGGTTTTCTGACTGATCGAAAACAAGAAATCTTTTCTGAGAAGACTTGAGAACCCTCTCTGGAGCAGCATCACAGTTAGACCACCCATTCAAACATGAATCTTGTTTTCCATAACTGGACAGTAAGGCCTGGAACGGTGGTGTTTGCAGATAGCGAAACTGATGCTCAGCTGCATATACTTTACTGAGAGGATTTCCAGGACAGGAAGACCCGGTAGCTATCTCCTGAGGAGGATTCAAGCCCAATGGCAACCATTTCTGTTGCCTGTTATCAAGAGGCATGCTCTTGCAGTTTAAGCCAAGGAAACTTTACAGGAACACAATACAATACTGCAAGAGAAAAAGCAAAAGAAAAGAATGAGTTAGTTTACATGTCTGTGATTATGAATGAGAACATTGCAAAAACCATAGTATACAAACAGAACCAATATAATTTAAAAGTGAAGATAGGAAAGATAGAGTAAGCATACCGATTGTGGAAGCTGTTGCTTGAACGCAATACTTCTTTGTTTCTTTCTTAAAGCAATCTTAAGAGAAAAATATAGAACAAAAACGGGGGAAAAATGCCAGGTAGAAGATACAACACAAACACACAAACCAAACTACGTCACTGGTTTGAGCATATGTCTAAAGTATTCAGCCTGGAAGTGGAAAGACAAACAGTAGCGTTAGAAATAAAGTACTATAAGATTATATGAACTAAAGAGAGCATGAATTTTCTGAAACAAACCTGACAATTAGCCATGGGTTGAAAGCAAACAATAGCTCTTACTACAACTGTTGGTTTGTTAGAGTCACCGTTGTTCTCGTACTTGAATGTTCGAAATCTTGTCTGACCAGCTGATTGGCTTACCATAACTTTTCTAAAACACTTGGGGTTGAGAAAACTAACAGTTGCTCCACAGAAACAGAGCAAACAACCAGAAAAAGAGATGACTCAAAGAAAAAAAGAGAGCTAAAGAAGAAAGAGTTGAAAAAACCTTGCAGGGGTTTTAAAAGGGAATCTGTTTAGATGATCCTGTATTGTTCACAATGGAAAACGTAGAAACGTTGTGATCCCATGATTAAAGAGATTATTTATAAACAGAAGAAAAGTGCTGAAGAATGAGAAGAAATAAAAGATTTGAGGTGGGGTTTTAAGGTAAAGCTTATAGAATAACACGACAATAGAGATTCAAATGCACAACATTGCGAACAGAACTTATGAACCAAACCATGCTGTAATATTCACTTATAGATTTTGTAGTCCAGACAGAGAGATGAGTTCTGTTACAAAGAGACAAAATCATTTCATCAACACTCAATAATCTGCAAACTAAAGGAACAAATAATCATAGAAAATAATAAACACTCAGATGAAGATTTAGCATGTTGCATAATTGAACAAAGTACAATTTCTAATCAAATTCTCTATAAACTTAGACTTTGAATCTGCAAAAAAAAAAAAAAACTATATTTCTAATCTAAACCATACCAATTCACCTATCCACTAAGTCACCAACAAAACAGTGAGCACAGTAAAAAAAAACAAACGATGTAACAAATTAGCTTACAGAGAGAGGAAGTAAGTGAAGATCTTATCTTCCAGATCCAAGGCGTTAGGGAAGAGAACTTGTGAGACGAATAATATTTTTTCAAGAGGAAATAAGTGGGGCGTGTGAACAAGACGGGAGTGCATAGGCGATGCTTTTATAATTAGAGGTGTTTCGTTTTGACGAATTTACCCTTTTTCACATAATGGTCAATAATGAAATAATAGTACTATAAATAATAGAAGAAGATTTACTTCACTTCAACGAAAATAGAATGCTTTTAGTTCGGATTTTTATTCCTTTTTTAAAATTGATTTAGCAGCTTTTATGTGTTTTTTTAGTTCGAGTTCATATCTCATCCACTTTCTAGTTTCTACCATATGGATGTAAAAGTTATATTTTATGGTAATAAACAAAATTGGAAGAGGATGACCAAATACTATCTCAATTTAGAATAGTTCATAAGTTCTCAACCGGAAAGAAAAATAATGATCCATACATTTCAAAACATAAATTGTGTAATGTGAAGATGATTTTCTTTGTGGTTTTTAATATAGTAATTTTAAAACATATAGTAGGTAGTTTTTTTTTGTAATTTAAATACATAGAACTGTGAAATTCGTTGATGTAGTATTACAAATGTGTTGTTTAGGCAATGGGATGAGGAGGGGCCGAACATGTATAAATGTAATAATGGTGTATATAATGGGCAAACCCTCACGATTCATAATATCAACCCATAACTTATATAATTAAGTAACACTACAACAAACGTGATAATAATTTCTTAGTTGTTAGTTAAAGTAAACCCCGTATAGTTGTTAGTTTTCACCTTTTATGTTTGTTGCCAACTAACGTTTCATCTTTTCTCGTTTTAAATAATTAACGAGCCAAATAGTGGAAGTAAGTTTTCACTTTTTTCTGGGTGGTTTCTTTAATTATTGTTCTTAATTATTTCCTTTAGGTGCGTGGGTGGGATGTTTTGGAACATTTACGATGATCACACGATAAATGGACATAATTCGTTTCCTTGGGAGTTAAGAAAAATCGAACTACATTACAGTTTTTTTTTTGTTTACAGTTCAGTAGCAAAGCTAATAGAACACAAATTTTAATTAGCTCACTCGTTTATTTGCATTTAGTTTTAATGAGACAATAATACATTAATTTAAAATAGTTAAGGAACATCCACACCGTATTTGGTTGGAGAAAGATGGAATGAAGAAAAGAAAAAGAGAAAGGGAAGCAAGTGAATGATTAAAGAAATGCACGGGGATTTTAAGTGCTTAATTGCCTTGACGACTACTTTGTTCCCATCCTTTACTTTTTTTTTGGCTTTTCCGAAATTTTTGTTCCATAAAGACTAATTTCTTGTTGCCTCGTTTTTTTGTTTGGTTTGATTTGATATGAGAATAGTAGTTACCATGTGAGAACAGAATAGCCATATGATTACTATTTTCTTATAATTTGAAAGTACTTTAGAAATTAGAATTCATAAATTTTCAGGAAACAATTATGTAGTCTGTTGTGAAATAATTATTAAAAAGCATGTTAAGATAAGACTGTTGAATATGATGTTTAAATATAAGTTTCACACTATCAAGCTTTCCTAAGCGAAATTGGCTTTATTCACTGATTTGAACTGAACGAGCCGTAACTGCAAGTTAAAGTAGGTGGCATATTACTTACTTGGATTGATGATGGGCCATAACTTTAAGCTTTCAGATTTATTTTGGGCAACGTAAACTGTCAGTTAAGAAGATGTGGGAAAGCCCTCAACATGTGGTGTACTTTGCAAGTAGAGAACAAACAAATGTAAAGTAAACATTTTGTCAAAAGAAGTTAAAACTTAAAAGTAGAAAACATAGTGAGAAAATACAAAAAATTTAAGCTCAATTAATTTTAAAAACGTACAGATATATAAGCCCTAAACTAAATATGAATAAGTTTGGAGAAGGTATTTTATGACTACCACACAAGCATAAGATACCAAAAACAAAAATAAGACGAAGGAATATATACTGAATGATTGAAAGTTAAACACAATGACGAGCAGTAAACGCGTTATATCTTTTATTTAACTATCATACATAGATTTACGTAATAATTTTTTTTTTGGTAGCACAAAGAAAGAAAGACATGCAAGTTACAAGAGAGACTCAGTAGAAGACTATACACACTAATTTAAGATCGAGGCATTCAGTGACCCAAACATGACATGAAACTTTTAAGACATAATTAAGTACTCCTCTCGTCTTACATAAGATACAAACCCCAAACAATTACATATATACTTATATTTATCATTAATCAAGCAAGAGCAGAATATATAGATGTTCTTTTAATGTTATACACCCATTGATCTATGGCTTCTTGCTCGAACCACTAGAAGCTTCTTTAGAAACACTTGTGGTTGCCGTAGGTTTTGTCTTTTCAGTCTTCGGAAAACCGCCGTTAGCACCGGGAAAAGGGAAGCTGGGGATCCATGAGGGAAATTCAAAACTCCTTTCTTCTGACTCCTTTGGTGGCTCCTCTGGTTCCTCAGGAAGCTCGGGCTCTTCTGGAATCTCCGGTTCCTCAGGCTCATCAGGATCCTCCGGCTCCTCAGGCTCTTCTGGAATCTCCGGCTCCTCCGGCTCTCCTGGAATCTCCGGCTCCTCCGGCTCTCCTGGAATCTCCGGCTCCTCAAGCTTATTATATTGTGAAATTTTTGTGACCTCTTCTTGGACTAGGGATCGACCAACTCTAGCAGCAAAAACAGGCTTAGCAAACAATAAGGACGCTGCAATAAAAACAAGGAAAAACATAAAAGAGACGAGAATAGGAATGCGAAGATTAATCATTTTTGTGATATGTTTTTTTTTTTCTCTTGAAAGGAAACAAACTTGAAGATTCAAGTAATATTGTGAGTAAATAGAATTTGTGTTTAGATATTGTGTAACAAGTGAGTTATTATATAATACATCATACATGACACAAGAGAGCTATTTATAATGTAAATTTCATAGGAGTCACAAATTTGGCGAGAATAACTTTAATCACGATTGTGAGTTTTGATGTTAGTCTTCAACAAACTCACCTATATTTTCGTTTAATTTTACTTCTAATATATATATATAACTCCATAAGTTTAATTAATTGAGAACTTAAATCCCTACCTGTTCAAGTTATAAACATTAAACATTACAAGAAAACTTGTGTAATGGATAGATCAATCTCACCTATCTATAGATATCAACAAAATAATATAAAGGCTCCTCCATCAATTTTTAAAATCCAATTAGTAAAATATATGCTATATATATGACGAGAAAAATCAACAAAATTGTAAAGGTCTAAAACCATGGTGGTATTTAAAAGAAAGTCACCAAAACAATAGTAACAGATGTGAATGAGGAGAATAAAAGACGACATGTGGTAAAAAAAGAGCATGAAGTCTTCTCGTAAGGATTCACTTGAGACTTATGAGTAGGCCTAAGTGTTTGTAGTCCACCTCTAAGCCCCCACCTATAACTCAAACTGAAAAAACCGATACCCATCCGAGCCATTATACAAAAAAATATCCAATTGGAACTTAGAAGATTGGATACTTTGGGATTCAGGTACAATCCGAACCAGATCGAAATCGGAACTAGGATCCGAATGTTCAAAATGAGTTAAAAATATTAAAGTTTTCATATATATTAAAGTAATTTAGATACTTTAGCGTATTTTAATTTTTTTTTGCATTTTTTATTTATTATTTGAATACTTTTTAGTTATTTTAATTCTTGAATAATTTATATATACCAAACTTTGTTAATTTCTTAAGCTCATTTAAAATATATTTCTGGGTAATTCATACATTGATTATAATCTGATTCGAATGGGAAAATAATCGATCTATATTCAATCCGTAAGTTAGTAAATCCCGAATGAGACTTATGAGATTAATATCATAAAGTTAAAAATTCTATCAATCGAACTGAATCCGACGGATCCGAATCCCAGACCTACTTGAGGGGGATAACATAGAGGACTATGTGGCACCTTGACCAGGTTTAATTACCATGCTTAACCGGTTTGCAAGAGATTGGAGCTCCGCAACGTGTAATCATCTACGGTTTCATCTCCATGGGTTAGACGTTTTTCCGTTGTACACACCATAGATGCTTCACATCATTTCAGGGATAATCACCATGTTCTTTAAATGTGTTCTAACAACTTCCTCGTTTTCTCGTTTAACCACGTTCCATTTAATAAATCTAAAGCATCTTCGTCGGTTCCATAAATAGAATCGATAATTATAAAATTGGCCCCTATTATTCGAACTCGTGGACAATTAGATTTTAGACAAAACGATTATCATAGATAAGTAACACAAATCATTCAAAGAGTATATGAAATACAAATAAATTAATATGTATGAAACATACAATACAAGTATATAACAGAATACAAGTAAAAGTGTAGGAAAATATAAAAGGAAAAAAAGAAAAAAAGGAGTATGCTGCCTATAATATCAAACAAACCATAACTATATGGTTCAGTAAGGAAACATGATGATGTGATGGCAAACAAGATAAGGGTGATACGGTAATTTAAAATTATGGAGTGGGCCAAGTAAATGGGCCTTTATATGGCCTCACTAAACTTAGTTAGCTCCGGGAGCTTTGGGGAATTCCGGCAACTTGAGAACTTCTGGCATCTTCGGTAGCTCAGGTTTTGGAATCACTGGCATCTTAGGCAGCTCCGGCTTCTGAATCTCTGGCATCTTTGGCAACTCCGGCAACTTAGGAGCCTCAGGTTTTTGAATCTCTGGGATCTTTGGCAACTCCGGCTTAGGAACCTCTGGCACCTTTGGTAGCTCCGGCAACTTTGGAAGTTCCGGTTTCTGTAGCTCCGGCATTTTTGGTAGTTCTGGCTTCTGAACTTCCGGTATCTTTGGTAACTCTGGTTTTGGAATCTCCGGCAACTTAGGAGCTTCAGACTTGGATGTCTCCATCAACTTAGTCCCCTCATGCTTTGGAATCTCAGGAATCTTTGGGAATTCAGGTAAGTTAGGCATCTCTGGTTTAGGGAGCTCCGGGATTTTAGGAACTTCGAATTTTGGTAGCTCCGGGTGAGGTAGCTCAGGCAATTTCGGTAGCTCTGGGTGAGGTAGCTTAGGCAATTTTGGTAGCTCCGGATGAGGTAGTTCAGGCAATTTCGGTAGCTCCGGGTGAGGTAGTTCAGGCAATTTTGGTAGCTCCGGGTGAGGTAGTTCAGGCAATTTTGGTATCTCCATGTGAGGTAGTTCAGGTAATTTGGGTATCTCCGGTTTGGGAATCTCCTCGACTAACCGGCGAGCTTCCACTGAAACCCGATCAGTGAGCAATGTGATAAGACAGATGATCAGAATTGGTGATGAGAGGAGAAGAGCAAAGAGACTCTTCTTCATTAGTGCCATGCTTTTCCTTGCTTCCTTGAAAAGTTTCTTTTTGCTTTTTGATGTGTTTGTTTGATGTTGGATTTTTTGATGAGTTTTTGGTCTTTGATACGAATGGCTATTTAAAGGTTGGTTTGAGGAAGAAGGAAGATGAGTTTGGTGGGAAAAATCTGTAGAATTCAAAAAGTTCGTTTAACTTCTCTATCTGTATATCTACACTGTCATTTTCAATCTAGTTGACTTTTAGGTACTTGTGTTTACGTGTTCATGGTTTGTTACACGTATATCTTTTAGAACACAATCTTAAAAAAAAAAATCAACTATACCGAGTTTGTTTAAAATTACTAACAAACCAATCAAGATTGAGGCTTGGTCAATAAATTCTTGCAAATATCTAGTCAGTTTGTGTTGATTCTGATGAAAAAACTAGTTCCACAATGAAAATTTTGCACATAAAACTTGGTAAATTTGCAAGTATGAAAACAGAGTTCAGATTAAAGAAAAAAAGAAAGCAAACAATGAGGTTTTGGCCGGTAATCTACACAACGACGTCGATCAAATGCCGTTGTGTGTAGGTTATGCTATTTGTCATTTAAAGTCATTGAAATACAATACATTGTTTGATACTGATCTTCAGACATATTTACAAAAGAAAAGCTACAAGATTCTTTCAATAAAATGGAGCCAAAACGAACTAAACAACCTGAGCAGATTAAAGCCTTTTCCACCAAATATAACCATTCTGCTAATTAGCTACATCCACTGATCTGAGAAAATAAGTGTTGATACTTTACTCAGACGTCCATAGCAACCAAATAATCTGCAGCCGCTTTTTTTTGGATATGATAAATAAGATTACATTACCAAAAGCGCATTTCACCCTTCAAAATACATCATCTTGATTACATTTAACATTGATTCCACAAACGAATCAAAAACTACATCACTTTCAACTACTAGCAATACATAAAACCTAAGGCCCAAAAACATGCAACCACAAAACTAACAAGGGACATACAAAAAGATCTTACTTTCACTAAGTAGCCTTGACCTTATCAGCTGCAACAACACAACGTATCTACAGATTTTTCAACAACTCATCAAGTTCCTCAAAAAACTCTATCCATTTGATATCATCCTCCTTTCTTCTTCTTCTTTGCAACATCTCTCTCTTCATCATCATCATCATTATCATCATCAGATATTGTAATATAAAACCCATCACCATTGTCAACATCATGATAGTTTCTTGGAGCAGGTGTTTCTAGATTCGCTTGATAATCAGAAGAGCCGTGCACAGGGCAGTGAAAGAGATTTGACACTGGCGACCAACCAGAGCCAGACCTTTTAGCCTCACCTAAAAACCCTACAGGGAACATAGCCCACGAACAGAAAACATAAACCCCTTCCCCATTACTCTCCACAGGTGGCGTCTCCGTCTTAACCGCTTCAAACGCTCTCCCACATTGCTGACACCTCAACACACATTCTTCATAACCCTTTGGATACTCAAAAAAGCGCATAACAGTACGGACCAGCCGTCCAAAAACTCGTCGCAGCCTCCTTATGATTCTTCTCGGAGGTCTCAGTTTTGCTCTCCTGTCGGCACTGAAACTCCTCCGGTTGACTACAACGTTGACCGAGCTGACTCAGCTGTAACTCTCGGTCGTATATTGACTTTCTTGAAGCATCAGAGAGGACGCACCAAGCGTCAGAGACGAGCTTGATCAGCGAAAGGGAACAGTAGGGTTTAGGAGGTATGTTCTCAGACATTAGAGATTCAACTTATAGAACAATCAATACTAATTAGAAGTTTTTTTTTATTCCTTTTGATAAGACATATTCAAGTTGTGTTTGATTTTCTTATGATGTTATTGGATACCTTATACTAGGATAAGACCCGCGCCTTGCGCGGGATGAAGCTATTATTTTTATTATGTTTTGAGAAATGAAACAATAGTTCGGTTTCATTCGGATTATAGGTGCTCAATCCGGATATCGGGTTTCGGTTCGGCTCAATTTTTTGTCCGATTTTTTGGTATTTCGATCATTAAAATATAGCTACTATTCTAAATCTATATGTACTACAGTTTGATTTGGTTTATATACCATCGGTTTTCAGTTTATTCAATTTTATACCAAAAAACAGAATTATTTAGTTTGAGATCATATTATATATTATACAAATATATAATATGATCATATTTAGAGTCATATTGCCACAAGATCATTTATTAAAAAAATATTATATATTTAAATAAAAGAAAAAAATAAAAAAGGCTTCTATCATCTAATAAAATGATCAAATCTAGAATTAATATCAAAACACTAAATTTTGAAGAAAAAAAAACAGAAGCATGAAAGAAAAGTTTTTATATTCTTCCATATTTAGTGTTCATCAAACCAATATGTCTTTGATTGAACAC